ACCGACCACAGATCAAAAATATTGGAAAATAAGTAAGTAAAAAATACAGATTAAAAATATAGTATAACCATTTACATAGCATTCATGCTCAGTTAGGTATTATAAGTAATCCAGAAATAATTTAAAGCATATGGAAGGGTATGTGTAGGTTATGTGCAAATAGTATGTCATTTTAAGGAACTTGAGCCCTTGCAGATTTGGGTATATGTTGAGGGTCTTGGAACCAGTCCCCTTGGACACTGAGGGATAACTGTACTACATAAGGCTGGGAAATTCACCTGCTTATATTCTGTAAGAGGGCTTAGAGGACACTCCATTTACAAAGCAGTGAGAAATGCACTGGTGAGAGGGGCCCAGAAGACCCTGGGTCAGCTGTGCTCCAGAGGTCTGGCCTCAGGGCAAGTGATGCTGTTACGGAACTGCACTGGTAGCAGTGGGAGTGAGGATGGGAATGGAGGCCAGATGGCATCACCTAATGGGCAGCAACAATGTGGGCACACTGCTCAGAATGAGCTGCAGGGTCAGAATAGGGGAGAGGGGCTGGGGAATGGGCAAGGGGAGTAACCTGTAGAGAGCTACGGTAATAGTCAATAAAAACCTTCCTAAATGCAAGATAGATGGGCACCCAACAAGAGCATTGCTAAATTTATGCAATTAAAGAAATCAAGAGGCCGGGTGCGGTGGCTCATGCTTGTAATTCCAGCACTTTGGGAGGCCAAGGAGGGCGGATCATGAGGTTAGGATATTGAGACCATCCTGGTCAACATGGTGAAACCCCATCTCTACTAAAAATGCAAAAATTAGCTGGATATGTTGGCAGGGACCTGTAGTCCCAGCTACCCAGGAGGCTGAGGCAGGAGAATCGCCTGAACCCGGGAGGTGGAGGTTGTCGTGAGCCAAGATTGTGCCACTGCACTCCAGCCTGGTGACAGAGCTAGACTCCATCTCAAAAAAAAAAAAAAAAAAAAAAAAAAAAAAAAAAAAAAAAAAGATAAAAACAGAGGAGAGAGGCATTTCAGATGAGGATGAGGGAGATATCTGAATTGGACCTTAAAGGGTCCAAATGTTTAAAGGGTCCATGTTTAAAACATGAGGAACTGGATGGTGGGGGTGAAGAAAGGAGAACATTTAGGGGACAAGGAAAGTGCATTCCCAAAAACGGAAACAATATGGGGAAAGGCACAGACGTCTGGACCCAGAGCAGGGAAGGCAATGAACAGTGACTATGGAGGAAGGATTTGAAAACCTGTGTATAAAATAGAGTGAATTATGACATATATCCCCCTTGAAATAAACAGCCTTTTAAAATCAGAGTTATGAAGATTGGAGATACAGGAAAGAAGTTGTCAGAAACACTGAGTTCAGATGACCTACTATATGAAAGTGCCTTGTAGCCGGGCGCGGTCGCTCAAGCCTGTAATCCCAGCACTTTGGGAGGCCGAGGCGGGTGGATCACAAGGTCGAGAGATCGAGACCAACCTGGTCAACATGGTGAAACTCCGTCTCTACTAAAAATACAAAAAATTAGCTGGGCATGGTGGCGCGTGCCTGTAATCCCAGCTACTCAGGAGGCTGAGGCAGGAGAATTGCCTGAACCCAGGAGGCAGAGGTTGCGGTGAGCCGAGATGGCGCCATTGCACTCCAGCCTGGGCAACAAGAGTGAAACTCCGTCTCAAAAAAAAAAAAAAAAAAAAAAAAAAAAAAAAAAAGTGCCTTGTAAACTGCAAATAACAATCTTTTGGAAGGGATGATGGGAGTGAAAAAGAGAGGAACCATGATCACTTTAGAAAAGAAAAGGGTTGCAGGAAGGGTTTTTTCAAAGACTAGGGTAGGGTTCAAAGAAGAGTTATAAAGTAAGGTGTGAGAAGATAAAAATGATTGACGGAGCAATTCCTCAAGGAGATCCAAGAGGACAAGAGACTAAACAGACCACAGAAAAAAAAAGAGGAATGTGGGTAAGTCCACAGTCAGGAGAGGAAACTGAGCCCCCATGCAGTCTCCTGTGGTGAGAGCCAGAGCTTTACTCTGAAGGCAGAAGCTGTGGCTATTTCCAACTTTCACTTCTCTCCTCTGTCCCCCTACTACGAAAACAGAATGAGACTCTCAGCCATGAGCTCCCTGAACTTACCATGCCACTGCTCATGTTTGCGCGGAACATGCCTGTTATGATTTCCTATCTTCCAGCCTCAGAGGAAGAGATGTCGCCGTCCCTAGGCTGTGCTGTGGAGCCCAGTCCCTCTTTTCTCCTCTGACACCTTGCTTCATCAATGATCCCTCCTCTCTCCTTGATCTTCAGTCTCTTCCCTGATCACTGGAGCCTTCTCAGCATATATGTAACTGCTTATTAAAAAGCTCCACTCAGATGCTTTGCAGCTACCTCAAACTCAGAGTATCTCTTCCTACAAACCAGCTGTCCCTCTTTGTCTTTTCTATGTCATTCATCCAGAGCTCTGCTAGGCTTCCCAGATCCTTCTCTCTCCACTCACACATTAGTTATTAGCTAACTAATAACTCCATCTTTTCCATTTTACCTTTGAAATCACTCAGCATCCACATCTTCCTCTTTATTTAACTGCCACTATTTTAGTTACTAGTCTGTTTTTCTTGCCTATAGCACTGGTACTCCTGATTCTAGCTTCATTCACCACCAACCTATCCTTTCTATCACTATTAGGGCAATCTTTCAAAAATGCACACCCCAACCACCTCACTACTCTACTTAAAATCTTTCAGGGCCTCTTGTCAGAATAAAGTTCAAATTAATTAATTTCTCTCTTTTTTTTTTTTTAAGACAAGGTCTAACAAGAAAAACTAAACAAGCAAACAAACAAAAAGACAAGGTCTCACTCTGTTGCCCAGGCTGCAGTGCAGAGGTGCAATTCCCACCCACTGCAGCCTTCCCAGCCCTGACTTCCTGGTCTCAAGTAATCCTCCTGCCTTAGCCTCCTGAGTAGCTAGGACTACAAGCCTGCACCAACATACCCAGCTAATTAAAAAAAATTTTTTTTGTAGAGATGAGGGTCTCACTATGTTGCCCAGGCTGATCTCAAACTCCTGGGCTCAAGTGATCCTCCTGCCTCAGCTTCCCAAAGTGTTGGAATTAAAAGTGTGACCGCTGTGCCTGGCCAAGTTCAAATTTCTTAGCACAGCACAGACTTCTCATGATCATCTTACTCTCTGACCCTCTAAAGAGCTTGAGTGTTGGACACTAACTGTACTTCAGGGAACGTAACCGGCATCTCAGGCTTCCATGCTCTGAGTGTGCTCTTGCTTTCCTGTTGTGTCTTGGGATAACTCGTCAACTGTGAAGATCTGGCTCAGGTGCCATCATTTCTGTAAACCCTTCCCTGAGGTTTTCTCACATAGTCCAGGGCCATTTCCTCTCACTGCTACATCTTGCTCTGTTCTGGAATACTCTACTTATTTATCACCTCCTTGGGATCGTCCCTTCATTTTTCTTTGTATCCTTGGCATCTGACTGACACAGAGACTCTCACAGCGTTTATTGCAAGTCATTAAATGTTTATTGAAAGAAAGACTGGCTTAAACTCTGCATCCTTGAGCCAAGGCAGGCACATTCATTCTGAGATAACCTCTAGGTAAAACCCCACAGGTGTTTCGTAATACACACACTGCATACAACACTCATGCACACAGTCCTGCTCGTAGACAACATGTTGGTGCTTCCTTTCTATCTGTTTCATCACATTTGTGTGCAGATGTCTGAGGCTGCATTAGCCATCCTTCTCCTATCATATTTTAATTTTCCCCAGAAGATCCCATGAAACTAATAATAGTATCTCTTTTTAAAATGTGAATAACTTCCAAAGCTTTCAATGCTTCACTTTCCTTTTTTTTTTTTTTTTTTGATGGAGTTACGCTTTTGTCACCCAGGCTGGAATGCAATGGCGCAATCTTGGCTCACTGCAACCTCTGCCTCCCAGGTTCAAGCGATTCTCCTGCCTCAGCCTCCCAAGTAGCTGGAACTACAGGCGCACACCACCACACTTGGCTAATTTTTGTATTTTTTTTTTTTTTAAAGTAGAGACAGGGTTTCAAGATGTTGGCCAGGCTGGTCTCGAACTCCTGACCTCAAGTGATCTGCCCACCTTGGCCTCCCAAAGTGGTGGGATTACAGGCGTGAGCCACCGTGTCCAGCCTTAAGGCATATTTTGATCAATAGCTATACCTCCAGTCTAGTTCTGGGATTTATCAAAAGGATAATATGTATGTTATATACGTTTATTTTTCTGGTGCATCTCACAAAATCAGCTATCTCTGGCTCCTTTGTTTAAATTCAGAACTAAATCCTCAAAACTATGTTAAAGTGGAAATGATAAGGGTTAGGTCTTAAGAGACCAGTCTTTCCTTTCATCCAGGTTTTTCTGTTTGTTTTTCTGTTTGTTTTTTGTTTTCACTCTGTTGTCTAAGTTAGCGTGTAGTGGTAGTGGTGTGATCATGGCTAACCGTGGCTTCCTCCTAGGCTCAGGCCATCCTCCTGCCTGCCTTAGCAACTCCCTATTCACACCCCCCTACCCTCCACCACACTTCCCTCCCCTGCCACCCAGTAAGCTGGGACAAGTGCTTGCCAGCATGCCTGGCTAATGTTTTTGAGTTTTAGTAGAGATGAGGTCTTCCTATGTTGCCCAGGCTCTTTTACCTGGGTTTTAATTCCAAAGGATTTCAGAGTTGGTGTCTTTTAAAATTTGGTTGGTATTATGAAGAGTCTGCCAGCCTGGACAGAAAAAGGATGTTCTGCGGAAATAGAAAGTTGAAGTGAAATCTATGACTATTTTATGTGTCATTAAAGGCCTGATAATATGGGAGTGATGTTCTGTGAGAATATTTGAAAAAAAGTCGCTGTATTCTTCTGTTTATGTTAAATAGAATATATTTAATTATTCACAGGAAGAAATTAGAATAAAATTAATCACATTTTTGGAATGTAAGACTTCACCATTTATACAGATTTTAATATATTATCTGCATGAATTGATTTGGCTTGCATATGTAGTAATGACTCTTCCTGGAGAGGTTGACAAAAATGGTTATTGAAGAATCTTCAGGCTTGTTTAATGTAAATCATTTCTATTTTCTTTAAAAATATCTGGCATCTAAATAGGAAAGGAAAAATGCTTCATAAGTTTTGGGGAAAGACTAACATTCAGTGACAGAACTCCTAAACAGCCAATTTTTTATTACATATGGAAAAGGGGTACAAAGTAAGCATACAGATAGATGAACTTCACAGATAATACCAACACTATATTTTGTTTGCTTGTTTGTTTTGAGATGGAGTCTCACTCTTACCCAGACTGGAGTACAGTGGCTCACTGCAACCTCCGCCTCTCAGGTTCAAGTGATTCTCCTGCTTCTGCCTCCCAAGTAGCTGGGATTACAGGTGCTCGCCACCATGCCTGGCGAATTTTTCTATTTTTGTTAGAGACAAGGTTTCACCATGATGGCCAGGCTGGTCTCAAACTCTTGACCCACCCACCTCTGCCTCCCAAAGTGCTGGGATTGTATTTTTGATAGAGATGAGGTTTTGCCATGTTGCCCAGGCCGCTCTCCAACTCCTGACTTTAAGTGATCTGCCTGCCCCGGCCTCCCAAAGTGCTGGGATTACAGGCGTGAGCACCATGCCTGGCCTCCAACGCTATATTTTTGTTTGTTTCAACCTTTCTCCCACTAAGGAACACCATGAGGAACAAGGTGGATTGAGTTTCGTCTTCCTTAGTTTGGTTAGCAACTGACAGAATGTAGAAAAAGTAATAGAAGCAAGAATCTGAATAATCCAAATGTGACTTACCAGCATGGCATAGTTAAGAATTGATGGTATTAAGGCACCCTCTTAATTTGACTATGAGAAAAGCTGGGTCTCAATGGCAGCATATGGAGGCATGTCCTACTGAGTGTCTCCTCATCCACAAAGCTTTGTTACAAATAGGCCACGGCATTTATGAACATACCCATGGCCTAAAATGGGACAGAGGTGGCAGCAGCTGTGTCTGCTGTTTGGGATCACTCCAGCAAGTGTAGCATTGGTCCTGGTCCCAAGTCTAACATTCATTCTTATTCAGTACCTTTTATGATAGGCACTTGAGGATATCAAAATAAATATGAGACAATTTCTGAAGTCAAAGAGTTCTAGTCAAGTGAAAGGACATGTAAACAGAGAACTGGAATGCTGTGTCATAGGTACCATTATGTCATTATGTCAAAGGGTACAGTGTGGGCACATAGGAGGAAGCAAGTCAGTTCCATCTGGGAGACAGGGCAGGAAAGGCTTCAGAGAGGAGGCAGAGCTTGAGCTGACAGGTGTTTGTGAAGTGGGAACTGAGTAAGTGAGAGAAAAGGAGTCAGGGAGAATATACCAAGTAGGAGAAGCTGCATGGGCAATAGCAGGAAGGCACAGAAATAACACACCATGCATAGAGAGGTAGGGAGTAGAACAGTGGTTATTAATGGCTGAGAAGGGTAGTGAGGGGAGGACAGGGAGAAGTTGGTGAATGGATACAAACTCTAGCTACATAGGAGGAGTAAGTCCCAGTGTTCTATAGCACTGCAGGCTGACCATAGTTAAGAACAATTTATTAGATATTTTCTTTTTTTTTTTTTTTTTTTTTTTTTTTTTGAGACGGAGTTTCGCTCTTGTTACCCAGGCTGGAGTGCAATGGCGCGATCTCGGCTCACCGCAACCTCCGCCTCCTGGGTTCAGGCAATTCTCCTGTCTCAGCCTCCTGAGTAGCTGGGATTACAGGCATGAGCCACCATGCCCAGCTAATTTTTTGTATTTTTAGTAGAGACGGGGTTTCACCTTGTTGACCAAGATGGTCTCGATCTCTTGACCTTGTGATCCACCCGCCTCAGCCTCCCAAAGTGCTGAGATTACAGGCTTGAGCCACCGCGCCCGGCCCTTATTAGATATTTTCAAATAGCTAGAGGAGAGGAATTTGAATCCTCCCAACACAACTGATAAATGTCTGAGTGATAGATTGGTTAATCATTCTGAAATCAGAATGATCAAATATCATCACATATTGTATACATACATGAAAATACTACTCTGTATCATATATATGTGCTTATTGTTATTATTATTATTATTATTATTTTGAGACAGAGTCTCTCTTTGTTGCCCAGGCTGAAGTGTGGTGGTGAGATCCTGACTCACTGCAACTTCCGCCTCCTGGGTTCAAGCTATTCTCGTGCCTCCACTGCCCAGGTTACTGGGATTACAGACGTACACCACCACACTTCACTAATTTTCTGTATTTTTAATAGAGACAGGGTTTCACCATGGCTAGTCTTGAACTCCTGAACTCAAGTGATCCACCTGTCTGAGCTCCCAAAGTGCTGGGATTACAGGCATAAGCCACCACGCCCAGCCTGTATCGTATAAATATGTACAATTAATATGCCAACTAAAAATAAAAGAAAAAAAATCACCTTTTTAGAAAGCTGCAATTGGTTAGACATGGCTGATATGCATGATGAGAAGGAGAAAGCGGTGAATGGTAAGACTGGATAGGAGGGCTGGTGCCAGATCAGAGAGGACTTTACATGCCATGCTAAAGAGCTCGGATTCGACCAAGAATGTGATTGTGAACCACTAAAGGGCTTTATGCAAGAGAGGGGCATGACAATATTTTGCTTTTGAAAGATCACTCTGTCTACTGTCTGGAGGATGGCATGAAGGAGACCAAAACTGGAAGCAGAAACACCCATTAGCAGGTAAGTGCAAAAGGTCAGACAAGAAATAACAGGGGCTTACAATGAAGCAGTAGCAGTAGCATGGAGTGAAGGGGGCCCTACAAGGTTAGAGGGAGGGGCTTCCAATTACAGCACCAGCCCTCATTTGAGGAGGCAGGGAAGGCTACGTTGCACAGTATGGAAATGTGACTTCGGGAACTCATATTTAATCTTGTGTTACTGTCAAATTACATGGAAATACAAGATTCTTTATCATGATCACCAAGGTGACCTACCATAGTCATGCAGTTTGGATGATTTTCTAGGCTTTTCGATCTGTAAGAAATAGAAAGAAAATAATGTACAAAGGAGAAATGGGGGACTGAACTAGTGAACATGGTGAGCAAGTATGCCATTATTTAGCACATTTTCCCCTCACTTTCAAGGAGAAATGATCATTTAAGATAGAATCATGAGACCCTCAGAGATTAAGATCAAGCTTTTCAGTATGTAACATGTGGCTCATTCTCACAGTATTTAAAATAATGAGGTGGAACGCGGTGGCGCACACTTGCAATCCCGGCACTTCGAGAGGTCAAGGTGCGTGGATCACTTGAGGTCAGGAGTTCAAGCCAGCCCTGCCAACATGGTTAAACCCTGTCTCTACCAAAAATACAAAGATTACCCAGGCATGGTGGCACCCACCTATAATCCCGGCTACTCAGGAGGCTGAAGCAAGAGAACTGCTTGAACCCAGGAGGCAGAGGCTACAGTTAGCTAAGATTGCACCACTGCACTGCAGCCTGGGCAGCAGAGCGAGACTTCATCTCAAATAAATAAATAAATAAATAAATAAAAATTAAATAACCATGAGCCACACTCTCATTACATTTAACAGTCTCATACATTTACTTAGGATACAATTCTATCACTTGAAAACTTAAAGAATTTCCTTGAAAGTCATCAAGAACTAGAGGCAAAAATAAGACATCTGAGGCTATGAAGTTACTTGCTTTTATATCCCTATTTCCCATTACTTTCACTACTGAAGACAACTGGCAAAAGCAATGCCATAATTTTGAGAGCCTGCAGAGGTAAGCTGAAGCTTTTTGCATGCCAAATATACTGAGATCAATTGGGACAATCATCAGAGGCTTCACAGATGGTGATGGCTGAAATCTGATGTAAGTCTGGAGTTTTCTAACAAACGTCCTTCTTGGCTGGACAGGGCTTTGAGAGTTCTTCTGCCCATTTTACCCCCTGGCTTCTAGGCCAGTTTAAATCTATATAAATGAGCCTAGAATTCATTGTGAAAATAGGCCAAGTAGGCCGGGCGCGGTGGCTCAAGCCTGTAATCCCAGCACTTTGGGAGGTCAAGGTGGGCGGATCACGAGGTTAAGAGATGGAGACCATCCTGGCCAACATGGTGATACCCCATCTCTACTAAAAATACAAAAATTAGCTGGGCATGATGGTGTGCACCTGTAGTCCCAGCTACTTGGGAGGCTGAGGCAGGAGAATTGCTTGAACCTGGGAGGCGGAGGTTGCAGTGAGCCGAGATTGTGTCACTGCACTCCAGCCTGGCGCCTGGCGACAGAGTGAGACTCTGTCTCAAAAAAAAAAAAAAAAAAAAAAGAAAATAGGCCAAGTATAAGTATACTGAGGTCTGAACTGGTGAAACACATGTAAGTTCACATTTAAATGTTTTTATTTTAAAATAAGTCTAGGAAAAAAAATCCATAGTTTCTCTCAACAACTCAGAGAAGATCCATCTTCAGTGTAAATTAGCATTTACTGAGCATCTGTGGTATGCCAAGGATCAGATCACATTCTTTCATCTTGGAGAAAAAGTCATAGTTGACCTGTCACTTGCAAATGCTAGTTTAAATCTACCAAGGCTTTTTAAAAAAATTTCCTTCCTTCCTTCCTTCCTTCCTTCCTCCCTTCTTTCTTTTTTCTCTCCTTCTTTCTTTCTTTCTTGTTTTCATCCTTAAATAACGTACATTTCCATGACACCAACACTAGAGTTTTTGGGATCACAGTAAGATACACCAAATTACATCCATAATTAATATGGATGTCCACGTCAAGCAGTAATATATTACATGGCAAAGACAATCAAGAAAGCAACCATCAACTGAAAGAGACCCGTAAGTTCAGACAAGGCAAATCCCAGGATAGCATATGAGAACAGCTGCTACCTCAGTGAAGGGGAGAACCAATGGCAAGGCTGGTTTCTGGCACAACCAATGGTTAGGCTGCCAAAGACTGTTCCAATACCAGCACGAGAACCAGCCACTCCTATTGTTGCAGCACCTGCACTGATACATTTGGCACCAGTCTCAATGTCTCTGCTGATTGCACTGGTTTGAAACTCCCTTTGGATTAGTTGAGACACACCATTCTGGGCCTCATTAAATACTGCACGGCCCTCTCCAGTCCTTGCCTCTGGTGGAGATAACACTGATGCAGAAATTGGTCTGTATGCAACTCTATGGACTTTAAGATAGAACTTCAGAGCAGGGGTGCAGAGCTTGGTGCGGGCAAACGTCTTAAACTCTTTGGGGTGCTGCAGCTGGAGGCCTTGGGTGACAGGCAACTTGGGCTCCTCTCCCGCTTCTTCTCTTCCCGGGAGGTGGCAGTGGCAGCACTGTTGGCAGCAGTGGCAGCAGAGGTGGAAGGAATGGGCCTCCGATTTTCAAAACATAGTTGTATTTGCAAATGGTAGGTTGAACAAACATGACTCATGACAACAAAATGCAACTTTAATTTTGGTCTTCCATTTCTACTTTAAGCTTTTTGCACTCAAAGAAGCTTTTCTTTTGCCCTTCCTTGGATGAATACACAGCAGGCTCAATGCTTTTTTTGCTCACTCTAAGGTGACAGTCAGTCTTCACTGCGGGGCATAAACAGTCTCAATTTAGTAGGTATACTGTCCTGTCTTAATGTTAATCAATCCTTTAATCTTTTTTTTTTTTTTTTTTTTGAGACGGAGTTTCGCTCTTGTTACCCAGGCTGGAGTGCAATGGCGCGATCTCAGCTCACCGCAACCTCCGCCTCCTGGGTTATTCTCCTGCCTCAGCCTCCTGAGTAGCTGGGATTACAGGCACGTGCCACCATGCTCAGCTAATTTTTTTGTATCTTTAGTAGAGATGGGGTTTCACCATGTTGACCAGGATGGTCTCGATCTCTTGACCTCATGATCCACCCGCCTCGGCCTCCCAAAGTGCTGGGATTACAGGCTTGAGCCACCGCGCCTGGCTAATCCTTTAATCTTAATTCAAAAGCAGGGTTCCTCCTCCCCCTCTACAGGTCAGGTCTGTAGCTAATGGACACCACTGTCTTTGGAGGCCAGTTTCCTCTTTTTGCTCATTTCCCTCTCCATTTGTAGGAGACAGGTGAAGGGCCACAGGACAGCTCATACTTGGCTGGGTGGCTTCAGAGTCCTGGCTTGGCAAATGGCTAATGCTGATTCTTTCTCTTTGGAGCTTGCCATTGCTAGGGACCTCTGTTCTGCAGTTCCCTGGACCTAGGCTGATTCCTTTCTCTTCTAGGGGATCACCTGATACTCCTTCATCAGCCCTGAAGAATCTGGCATTCTCTTCTAGTTTCTTGCTGCTTCCAGGCCTCCTTGAGCAGAGCCCAAGAACTCATCTCTCAACTACATGGTCCTTAAGAGATTATCATACTCATCCTTTGTCTCCACAAGCTCAAAGAGAAAAGCTACCCAACACAGCCTCTCTGCTGAGCTGCCAAAGCTTGCCTGTTTTCTCGGGCATGAATGAGTTACCAGTCCTCTGTGTTTCCCAACTTTTAGGGAACACACTTCAAAGCTCTCTAAGTGATTCCCTGGAAATCCCTCATAAGGCTTTAGGTAAGAGAGGTAGAATTACTTGGGAAGCAGGAACTCATGAGATGACAGGTTCGGAGAAATCCTTCTCCAGTCTTCCCTACTCTCCATACTTTAATATCTTGGATCTGGCCAAGAGATAGGAGTCATGGAATGGGTTCTCTGAAATAATTTAGTACAGAAACTCTGCACATGGGACAAACCCACTCTCACTTTGGGAACTGGTAACAGTTTTATTAGCACCTAAGGAACTGGGCTAGAAAGAATACGATTTTAACATACTGCTATGTTCTTTTTTTTTTTTTTTTTTTTCCTTTTTTTGAGATGGAGTTTTTGTTCTGTTGCCCAGGCTGGAGTGCAGTGGCACAATCTCAGCTCACTGCAACCTCTGTCTCCTGGGATCAAGCAATTCTCCTGCCTTAGCCTCCCAAGTAGATGGGATTACAGGTGCCACCACCATGTCTGGCTAATTTTGGTATTTTTAGTAGAGATGGGGTTTCACCATGTTGGTCAGTTTGGTCTCGAACTCTTTACCTCAAGTGATGCACCTGCCTCAGCCTCCCAAAATGCTAGATTACAGGCATGAGCCACCGCACCCTGCCCATATTGCTTTGTTCTTAATCAACCCCACAGGATTTGTGCATACACCTTGTAGCATCAGATATTGACCCTCTTCTAAACTAGTAGACTGCAAGTCTTAGTGTTAGTGTGTAAGAAAATCTGGTCATAAAATACAGAGCAAGGCAAGTAGCTTTGTTGTAGACAAAAATCTTAGCTCATAATCTTTATAGTTTCTTCCTTAGAGGGACTGTACATTCCACGAGAGCAGGGAATCAGGCTTTCCATTTCAGATTCTACAAAAAACATTAATCAAGCAACTACTTTATGATAGGCAAAACACGAAGCACTTTCATATAATTTATCTTGTTTACCTTGAGATAAGAAAAAGGTTTTTTTTTTTTAAAAGTCTCTCTCTCTGTGTGTGTGTGTGTGTGTGTGTGTGTGTGTGTGTGTATACACACAGATATATATGTACACACAAAGATATACACACACACACAGAAAAAGAGAGAGAGAGAGAGAGAGCGAGAGAGCGCGAGATTGCCTCTGTTGCCTAGACTGGAGTGCTGAGGCACAATCTCGGATCACTGCAACCTCAGTCTCCCAGGTTCAAGTGATCCTCCTGACTCAGCCCCGACAGTAGCTGGGATTACAGGCACAAGCCACCATGCCCAGCTAATTTTTGTATTTTTAATAGAGACAGGGTTTTCGCCATGTTGGCCAGGCTGGTCTCAAACTCCTGACCTCAGGTGATCCACCCACTTTGGCTTCCCAATGTGCTGAAATTACAGGTGTGAGCCACTGAGTCCGGGCATATTATTTATATTTTAAAGACATTATTAATTTTAAAAAGAGAGGAAAACTTACCTTGGTTTTCTGGCTTTTTCTCTGGGCTTTCTAATTAAATCCTCTAAATGTTTATTTCTCTCTTCCAAACTGAAAGAAGAAACAAGTGAATTTTATGACTAAAATTGATTTTTCTAGACCAATATTTTGTTAGATTCACTGGAGGATTTGAGTAGATAAAAATAAGTAATCTAATTATCTATACAGTATCTAACTACCTAACCATAAAGAAACTTGGGGTTCTTTCCTAGCAACTCAAAATTATTTTATCAGTTTTTCCCTTTATAGGTTCCAGTGGTGACGAAGGAAAGTAGACAGTAGCAGATATAAAGCAGCATTCTGATATTCTCCCATTTGCTTACATAGTGGTATACTCAGACTGATCCCTCTGTATGAGTAGATCCAAAATGCTCCTAGGGGTAACATGTTATAAACAAAACTCCTGGGCTGGGCGCAGTGACTCACACCTGTAATCCCAGCACTTTGGGAGGCTGAGTCAGGTGGATCACCTGAGGTTCGGATTTCAGACCTGCCTGACCAACATAGAGAAACTCCATCTCTACTAAAAATACAAAATCAGCCAGGTGTAGTGGTGCATGCCTGTGATACCAGCTACTTTCGGGGCTGAGGTGGGAGGATTGCTTGAGCCCAGGAGGTGGAAGTTGCAGTGAGCCAAGATTGTGTCATTGCACTCCAGCCTACAACAGAGCCAGACTCTTGTCTCAAAAAAAAAAAAAAAAAAAAAACAGGCCGGGCGCGGTGGCTCAAGCCTGTAATCCCAGCACTTTGGGAGGCCGAGGCGGGTGGATCACGAGGTTGAGAGATCGAGACCATCCTGGTCAACATGGTGAAACCCCGTCTCTACTAAAAATACAAAACATTAGCCGGGCACGGTGGCACATGTCTGTAATCCCAGCTACTCAGGAGGCTGAGGCAGGAGAATTGCTTGAACCCAGGAGGCGGAGGTTGCGGTGAGCCGAGATTGTGCCATTGCACTCCAGCCTGGGTAACAAGAGCGAAACTCCGTCTCAAAAAAAAAAAAAAAAAAAAAAAAAAAAAGCAAAAAAACAAACAAACCAAAAAACCAAAAAACCCTGAGCTAGGAACGGCTTAACATGGGAAAATGTGTGATAGCATTACAGGTCCATCACAAATCCCTTTTTCCATCCAGGGAGGTTGTATGAGCCTCCTGTGGCTGCTGCAACAAATCAACACAAATTCTGTGGCTTAAAGCACCCCATTTATTTTCTTCTGGAGGTCAGAAGTCTAAAATCAGCTTCACCAGACTGAAATCAAGGTGTTGGCAGGGAGGTGCTGCCTCTGGAAACTTGAGAGAATCCTTTGCCTGGCCTCATCCAGCATCTGGAGGCTGTCCTCATTCCTGAGGGAGCTCACGGCCCCACATTATACTACGTTTTCTCCCAGTTTCCACTGTCAGGTTGACTCTTCATCTTCTGTCATCAACTCTCTCTCTGACCCCTCCTCTTATAAGGACCCTTGTGATTGCATTTAGGGCCCACTCGGGTAATCCAGAATAATCTCCAAAACTCAGGATGTAATCATATCTGCAAGTCTCTTCTGCTATGCAAGGTAACAGTCACAGGTTCTAGTGATTAGGACTTGGATATCTTTGGGGCCATTCCTTAGCCTACTGTAGAGGATAAACAGACCCTGAGAGGAGATGAAATTCTACTGCAGAGGTCTAAACTCAAATGCCTATAGAAGGGTCAGCGAGGTAAATAAGTGAAGCCAGCTGAATGGTGATTCAGACAAACCAAAGAGCATACACCCCTAGGCCCTGCCTAAAAGAAGTTGCTACCTAGCTCTTGGCAAATGTTGCCCTATGAGAATGCTGCAACCATGATATCAGATCTTCTTGTTTTATTTAGTTTTTGAATTTTTATTATTTAGAGACAAGAGTCTTACTCTGTCACTCAGGCTGGAGTGTAGTTGTGCAATCACAGCTCAATGCAGCCTCGAACTCCTGGGCTGAAGCAATCGTCTCATCTCAGCCTCCAGAGTAGCTAGGACTGTAGGTGCATGCACCACACCTGATTGTTTTAATACTTTGTAGAAACGGGGGTCTCACTATGTTGCCCAGACTGGTCTTGAACTCCTGGCTTCAAGCTATCTTCCAGCCTCAGCCTCCCAAAGTGCTGGTATTGCAGGCATGAGCCGCCATGTCCAGCTTACTTGTTTTTAAAGATGAGATAGAAATCTAGATTTTTACAAAATATCTTCCCTTTTCAATTTGGCAATTAATTTCAAAAACATTTTAAATATTATATGGACAAAACACAAATGCCCCAGAATGTAACTTGCAGGTTGTCATTTTGAAACCTATACTCTTGACTGGGTGCGGTGGCTCATGCCTGTAATTCCAGCACTTTAGAAGGCTGAGGCAGGCAGATCACAAGGTCAGTTCAAGACCAGCCTCACCAATATGCCGAAACCCCGTCTCTACTAAAAATACAAAAATTAGCTGGGCATGGTGGCAGATGCCTGTAGTCCCAGCTACTCAAGAGGCTGAGGCAGGAGAATTGCTTGAACCCAGAAGGCAGAGGCTGCAGTGTGATGAGATCGCACCACTGCACTCCAGCCTAGGTGACAGAGCGAGACTCTGTCTCAAGGAAAAAAAAAAAAAAAAAAAAAAAAAAAAAAAAAAAAAAGAAACCTATACTCTTTCTTTCAGAGATATCAGGCTTTTGTTTTAAAGAGATAAAGAGAAGTTGTCAAACCCAGGAACAGAAGATAATGTGAAACAGACTGTATATACCAAAATCCTGAGTCTATCATGCTTTATTATTAGAGAAATAGCATGGAATAAATCTTTTGTATTTCGAGAATTGAAAAAAATGAGCACAACTCTTGAAGGAGGAAGATACCCAAGGAAAGAAAGTGCAAAGTGTTTCCAAGTGTGCAACAAAGCAACAGTGGAATATATTGATCCTGTGCTCCTGTGTGTAGAGCTGAGGGCAAAAAGCTATAACCTAAGCCTACCTAAATGGAGTCCTTGGTTTATTTTGGAGGAAGTCATGTCCTCCATAGAGAGAATGAGAGAACTGCTGAGAGCTAGAGGCAAGCAAAGCAGCACCACTGAATGGAGTGTAATGAGTGCTTTGATTTGCATGTGATGACATGAGTGTCTTCCATCCTTCCTTCCTGCCTTCCTCCCTCCCTCCCTCCTTTCCTTCTTCCTTTCTTTCTTTTTGAGAGTCTTGATCTGTCACCCAGGCTGGAGTGCAGTGGCACAATCTCAGCTCACTGCAACTCTGCCTCCCTGGTTCAAGTGATTCTCATGCCTCGGCTTCTCAAGTAGCTGGGATGACAGGTGTGCACCACCATGCTTGGCTAATTTTTGTATTTTTAGTAGACATGGGGTTTTGCCATATTAGCCAGTCTGGTCTGGAACTCCTGGATTCAAGTGAGCCTCTCACCTTGACCTCCCAAAGTGCTGGGATTGCAGGCATGAGCCACCATGCCCAGCTGACATGAACATATTTCATGTGCTTATTTGCCATCCATATATTTTCTCGGTGGACTCTCTACTAAAATCTTTGCCCATTTTTATTGTGTTACTTGCTTTCTTATGACTGAGTTTTGAGAGTTTGTTACATCTGGATAGAAGTTCTTTATCAGATACATTATTTGCAAATACGTTCCTCCAGATTATGGCTTGTCCTTTCATTTGTTAACAGCGTCTTTAGAAGAGCAGTTTTAGGCTGGGTGAGGTGGCTCACACCTATAGTCCCAGCACTTTGGGAGGCGGAGGTGGGCAGACCATGAGGTCAGGAGTTCAACAGCAGCCTGGTCAATATGGTGAAACCCTGTCTCTACTAAAAATAGAACAAAAAAATTTAGCCAGGCTTGGTGGCACACGCTTGTAGTCCCAGCTACTTAAGAGGCTGAGGCAGGAGAATGGCTTGAACCCGGGAGGCAGAGGTTGCAGTGAGCAGAGATTGCACCACTGCACTCCAGCCTGGGAAAGAGAGTGAGATTTTGTCTCAAAAACAAACAAACAAATAAAAAAGCAGTTTTAAAATTTTGATGAAGTCGAATTTATCAAAATCTTTTCTGATGAATCATGCTTTTAGTGACATGTCTAAGAAATTGTTGCCTAACCCGAAGTCACAGAAATTTCCTCACATTTCCTGCTAGGTGTTTTATGGTTTTAGCCTTTATCTTTGGGTATATTATCCATTTTGCGTTTACTCTGTATGTGGTGGACTGTATAAAGCAAAGTTAATTTTTTTTGAAAATGGGTAATGATTTCAGCACCATTCGTTGAGAAGGCTATCCTTTTTCCACCTTGTTGCCTTTGTAACTTGGCCAAAAATCACTTGTCCATATACATGTGGGTCCATGTCTGCATTGCCTGCTCTGTTCCATTGATTTTTATATTTTACAACAATGCTACACTGTTTTGATTATTGTTGCTCTATAAAAAGTTTCTCTCCCATTTTATCCACCTTTATCAGAGTTCTTTTGGCTATTCTGTGCCTTTTGAATTTCTGTATGAGTTTAGAATCAGCTTGTTAAGTTCTAAAAAATATTTAGAATTGGAATTGCACTGAATCAATAAATGAACTTGGGGAAAATCTTAACAAAATTGACCAATGAAAGGGATATACCTCTCCATTTATTTAACTCTTCTTAATTTCTCTCAATGGTGTTTTATAATATTTAGTGTACAAGTCTTTTACATACTTTTGCCAAATTTACCCTTATGTAGTTCATATTTTTGGTGCTATCAGATTTTTTTTTTTAATTTCTGATTGTCTGTTGCTAGTATATACAATAAAATACAGTGGACTTTTACATATTGATATTGGATCCTGTAACCTTGCTAATCTTAATAGTCCTAGTAACTTTTTTGTAGAATCCATCAGATTCTCTACATAGACAATCATGTGTCTGTGAATAAATTCATTTTTTGCTTCATGTGCAGTCTGGATGAGTTTTCTTTTTCTTGCCTGCCTGTCCTAGACAGAATTTCTAGTACAATGTGAATTTACTGAAATGTCTTGTTCCTGATTATGAGAAAGCATTTAGTCTTTCATTAGTAAGTATAAGGTTGGTAGGCTTTTTGT